CCACAAACACAGCAGATGCTTCCATTTATCTGTGTCACCATTAGTTTCATTCATCAGTGTCACACAGGGTGGGGCAAAAGTGGGTTTCCAGTTGGGAGTACACGAAACACAGTTTATTCCTGTATTTGTCCTTATTGGTTATTGTATGATTTTCTGCATGAACCACTATAAACCTGCCCCGGCCCCGCCTACACCTTCAGAGCACAGAGCGAGTCAGCCGATCCTGGCTCCCTGGGCCGGTGCCCTGGGTTAGGAAACGGTCTCCCTCACGCAGAGCCCAGCGCCTCCGAATGGGCCCTCCTGCCACCTGGCCCTTCGCGACCTTCCTCCGCGACGGGGAGCCCCCCACCCCTGGCCGTCCCCGCGGGGTGCACGTGGTGCGTCCTGCAGCAGCTGCCCAGCGAGCCCTCGGGTCGGTCCAGGGAGGCTGCCCGCGTGCAGGCGCAGATCCGGTGCTGGGCGGCGAGGGAGAGCAGGGGCCTCCCCGCTGCCTGGGCCCCCCGCTCCGCAGGCCCTTACAACAGGCTGAGGGAGCAGCCACTGGAGTGTTGAGGGAATGACGCTGAAAGACTCCATAAAATACGCTGTCATTGGAAGTTCCACCTGGATCGAGGAAGAGCAATTACAAACCTTTGAAACATAAATTCTGGCCCGAAGGCATGACCTTTGCACCCACTCCCATGCCTCCAAAGTCAGGTCTACTCGACAGGGCCCGAGGTCTGGGGCAAGGGCGCCGGCGATGTCCCTCAGGTCCTGCGCGTGCCATCTTTAGGGACGCAGCCCTCACCGCCTTCCTTCTGGGCTTCTTCCCGCGGACGTGCCCCAGCCCAGGCGCCGCCTCGGCAGGCCCGGAGGAGGGGCCCTTCCGACCCCCAGGGCATGTTTCCAAGGCTCATTTAGGAATCCATCCAGTGGCCAATTACTGCTAACTGTCTCTTGCTCCCCAACAAGCTGAGTCTGAATTCTAACAAAAATAATGAAATATCTAATTCATCCTCAGAGAAGGTTACGCCTTGGAAGAAATGCTGACAGAACACTTCCAGCCACTCAGCGTCACCATGACTCTGACGGTCGCTGTCCTGGGTCACCAGCCTCACGCAAGAGCTCACAGCCTGAGGGACAGAGAGATTCATTCGTAAGGGAGCTCGGTGGGAATTAGAGTCGGAGCCATAAGAAGCGCTTATCGGGAGCTGTGTGTTTGGCCGTTTCTCTTGCCCTTGGGCTCGCCTGGCTCAGGCGCCCTGCAGCTCCCGCGTGGGGAGAACGGGCTCCATCGGGTGCACCCCGGCTCCGGGCACTGCCCAGCGCTGTCCGCAGGCCGCCACCTCGTCCCAGGAAGGTTGCCGCTGCCGCTCAGGCTGTTGGCTGCCCGGCGACCTCACGCCCGTGTCCAGCTCTGGAAGCCCAGCAATCCGGATGGGGGCCCCGAGTCGCTGAGCAGAGACGCCCTCCACGTTGCAAGTGTTGGTGCTGGCGAGGCCTCTTGGAGAGGCGTCTGTTCAGGTCCTTTGCCCATTTGGTAACTGGGTTGTTTGTTGGTTTGGCGTTGAGTTGTACGAATTCTTTACATCGCATGGGTGTCAGCCCCTTGTTGGAGCTGCTGCTAGCAAACATCGCCTCCTGGGGGCGGGTTGCCTTCCTTTTGTTGCTGGTCTCTCTGGCTCTGCAGAAGCTTTTGGGTTTGATACAGGCCCATTCGTTTATTTTTGCCTTCACTCTCCTTGCCTTTGGGGTTGAATTCATGAAATGTTCTCTACAGCCAAGGTCCCCAAGTTTGATGTCAGTGTTTCTCGGGGATGACTGGGTAACAAGCGTCAAGTTCTTTAATGATGAACATTATTACTTAAACCCTGAACTTCATATAAAAGAATTCAGGAAATACGATGATGGGTAAATAGGATTTTTTTTTTATAAAGATGCGTTCATTGAAGTATTATTTTTTGATAGCAAAGAATTAGAGTTATCTAAACAAACTTATTTCTTGAGATGAAATATTATACACTAAAATTAGATTTTTGTAACTATGTTTATTAAGATAGAAAAAGCCTCTAAGATAAGGAGCACAAAATTACAGTTTATATGCACTACAATTCTGATATAGATCTACATATTGCAAAAAAATAAAAGATTGGAGGAAAGTACACCTAAACCTTGATATTAATTCTGAGTGGCAGAATTTTAAATTATTATTTGTTCTTTTTCCACATTTTCCAAATTTTTAATAATGTACTTGAGCTGCTTTCCTTCAGATTAGAAAAAAGATATTTAAAGAAACCTTGAAATAATATATGTTTTTAAAACATCTATGAAGTAACAAAAATGCAAAAACACATTGAGAAGCATGAAAGGCAGCCAAAGCTACATGGAGAAGTAAATACACAAACACTTTAGCAAATTTACAAAGTGGGGAGGCATTTATAAGTTTGCAACATCTGAGGCGACGGATGCACACGGGACTCCGTGTGCCATTACTGGTGCTCCCTGACCCGCCTCGTGGCCCCTGCCTGCCCTCTCGGGGCCCTGCCTCACAACAGCTTCTGGAACTTACCAGCAGCCTCTCCGAGGAAAAAAGGAGCACGTGGCGGGTGCCGAGCTAACGACGCCGTTTTTAATGCTTGTTTGGTGAAGGAAAGAAACTCGCCCCGGAATCGCAGAGTTCACCGACACATGGGCGAAGCACATAGTAAGACCCTTGATGCTCCCTGGACTCAGGACCTGCTCTGCTCTACGCAAAGGCAGCCACGTGGCGCATGGCACCGGACGAGGCTGAGGCCGCTGCACATGGTCGGGCGACGTGCCACTCCCTCCCGTGGGCTCATCCTGCCGGCAAGGTCGGGCTCGTCCTGGGGGCGCTGAGTTCTCAGGGCTCACTCGCTGCGAAGGCAGGCCTGCCGCTGTCCGCGTGGAAGGAGACATGGCACAGAGTGCGCAGCAGCGCAGGAATAAGCCTACTTCGCATGTCCAGTGCCAAGAACCTGCCTTCGCCTGCATCTGTGTGTCAAAGCTGACTCCCGCGGCCGGACGAGGCCTTGGGTTCTGAGTGAGTGGGACAGGCCTCCCCACTCCCGCACCCAGCCTTCGGCGCAGAGAGGAGAGGAGACGGGCGGGCCACCGCCCACCACGCAGGCCCTGCAGCCTCTCCAGCCTCCCCCTCAGGCCCGTGGGCTCCCACTGGAGCCCGCAGTGGGCCCTTCCCTGCACGGCCCAGGCTGAGCCTCCGAGGACACTTCTGTCCCATCAGGACAGTGACTCTGAGTAGGACACAGTCTGTCATCTCAGGGCTCCCACCACGCACTCGGGAGATGAGCAGAGCAAATCCCGGCTGCGGGAGCCCAGCACCTGCCCAACCGCGAGCTGGGGTCGCCCCAGCTCCGAGTCAGTAAACCTCACCTCACGTCCACCTTCTTATGGGGCCCAAGCGTCTGTGGCGTGAGCCTGTCACCTCACTGCTGAGCAACCCCGAACGGTTCTGTTAAAATGGAAAGACCACCCTCCCACAGACCTGCTTACCACTGTCTGAGAGAGGGAAAAAAGTCCCTTCGGGACAAAATTTTTCTGATGTCAATTTCACAATAAACGCCCACTGTGAGTCCACGGGTTAGCCCGTAGTGTCCGATGGCAGCCTCTCGGGTCACGGGAGTGACCCCTCACAGACGTCTCCCGCCATCAGCCCGCGAAAGGCAGGGACGTTTCCCAAAGGATCCGGAACAGCTCAGGGCCCACCTGCGCTTCCCCAGCCTGACAACGGCAGTGGGTTAGTTAGTAAAGTCATTTGAGCAGAAAATAGCACCAAAAAAAATAGCGTTAACTTAAAAATTATACATACGTATTACTTTACTATTCTTTCCAAGCAGGACCAAAGTCATCCCTTTGCATTCGACTCTGCCCACTGGGGTTCTCATTCTAAGAACGAGCCCATGTGGACCACACCTTGGCCTGTGGGTGTTCACTTCTGATTTCCAGTTTTTTCTGTTTCTGCTGTTTGCTGAGCAGAGAGCCCTCGGTGCGTTGAAATCTGCCTGCTCTAGACTGGGTGAGCCTGCAGGCGGCGCACTTGGTGAGGAGGGCGCAAATAGCGGCCCCCACACTCCACGGACGCCGACTGGTGGTTTTTCCCAAGGAAACTGGGGCGATCGGCCAATCGAGGCATAAGTTAAAGGCCTCTGCCGCACGCTGGTTCTGCTGATCGCCCTGGACAGCTCTTACAGAGGCGCTGTGATGCTTACGTAGCCTCCACCCTCCACCGTGTCAGGCAAATTCACAACTGGTCTCTCCGATGAGGCGTTAAGTGCTGGTGTTTTGTATTTGGCCTGTGAGGAGATTCTCGCGTCTAAGATACAAGAGGCCTCGTTCAGGTGTTCTTGTTCAGTGGGGGAACTTTGCCAGAGACTAGATGCTTCTGAGCAGGACCAAGGGGTTTCCGAAAGCAAACAAAACAAAATGACAAACGAAAAAGGCCTTTGACTCATCCCATGCACTTTGGGAAGTATTAGAATGTGACCCCAGGATTCTGAGCCACCAAGAACAGAAGGACGTGTTCACTCCAGAAACTCCCGGCGCGTGTCTCGCTGTGACGCCGCCCGGCTCTCCGCACGATCCCTCCTCAGTCCAGAACGTCTGCTTCTGAGTTCAAGGGGCTTCCCCCTCAGGACGCAGCTCGCGTCACGTCCGTGTCAGCCCCCGTGCGATCCCTGTGTGCCCTGCAGGAAGCCTCAGGCCACCGCAGTGCCAGTCACACTCGCCGCACCACTAACCGTTCAGCAGAGCTTTGCCATCTGGGAGGGGTCACGCAGCCCAGCATTGGGGTGAAATCGTGAGCTCACATGTGAAATTGGACCCATTTATCTGCACGTCACACAGGCTGATGAGCTTAACTTTTCACACCGGCCTTGGGGTCTGTTCTGATGTTGCTTCATGTATTGTGTTCGGCCTTTGTTTGAATTCTTTGTTCTTCTTCTGATGTGACTAATGCCACTCACGCATCTCTTTTGCTTCTGCAGGAGGGATTTTTGAAACCTTGGAAAACGAGCCTGTTAATGTGGAGGAGTTGGCGTTCAAGTTCGCAGTCACCAGCGTTAACAGAAACCGGACCCTGATGCCCAACACCACGCTGACCTACGACATCCAGCGGGTCAGCCTGTTTGACAGTTTCGAGGCCTCGCGCAGAGGTAAGTCTTCTCGCGCTTCCTGGAGCTTCTCTGGGGGACAAGTCCACTGTGTGGGTCACCTACCCTTGCACTAACAGGCCCAGGGAGTCTCTGCCCGCCCTGATGGGCCGCGTCCGCTGGCCCTGCGAGGCCCGCCCCTCTGTGAGACAGTGCGCGTGGCAGCGCATGGAAAATGTCAGGCTGCATCTGCGTTCCCTCCCAAGGCTGAGACGTCACCGTGAACCTGGCAGCACCATCGAATGAGACTTCGCACCTGGTGGTCTCCACTGAGCACGAGGAAACGCCCACGACACATCTGATCCACACCTGAATGCCAACCACTGCGCTTACTCCACGTCTTCCGGGCTTTTCCTTTAACCCCTTTCCATAAGATCACAGACATACGAAGGTCACAAACACTGAACCATTGTGTTGCACACTAGAAACTGATATTAGTGTTAGATGTCAATTACACCTCAGAAAAAAAGGTAAAAGTAGGGAAAAAACCATAAATGGAATCACACAATAAAAATAGAGAGAAAGCCGAATACTCTGAGTCGAGGGCCGGCATGCTCCCTGCAGCCGCCAGCTGTGGACAGGCAGCCACTATGGAAACAGATTAGTCAGAGTCAGAATTAAATTTTTAAAGATTAAACCGGCAAGAACAATCTCTGCATGTGCCCATTTGACTCTCCTGCCTCTGAACAGGAAAGTTCCCGGAAAAGCGACCCACAGGGCCCAGCACAAACAACGCCCCCTTTTTTATTACAAACTCCTTATTACGAATCATAAGCATGTCGTTCTGTGATGTGACCAGAGCACGCTCGAGCACACCCTGTGGCATCGTAGGTGAGGTGTTCACACTCCGGCGACAAGTCATCACCCCCGTGTGACTGACGGCCCTGCCAACCACGCTCACGGGGGCGCTCCTGCGGCCGGACCCCGTGTGTTGTGTGGAGGCCGCGGGCCCTGCCTCTGGCCAGAGCGCGCCAAGACGCTGCGCCGCGTGTGGAAGCAGAGGCTGCTCACCGCCCGGGGCAGGGCAGCTCTTCGTCTCAGAGAAACAGGACACCCAGACCAACCGGCTACAGCGATGGCCACGTGCAGGCCGGTTTCCAGGCAGCCAAACACCTGCTGTTCCCACGGAGAATTACCCCAGCCGGACGTGTCCACCTAACATGTGCTTCTGAAAGAGGGTTTGTGTTTCTTACAAACAAAAAACTTGCTTTCCTTAAAGCAAAGAGGAAAAGAAACAGTATGACTTTTTTTCTGTCCGTGGCATGACCTTAATAATATTTTCTTTTAAAGATAGAGTTGCATATACTATGATGTTGGCCAAAAAGTTCATTTAGTTTTTTCCGTACAATGGCTCTAGTAGCACTTAGTTCTCTTTAACTTCATTCAAAACAATTTTGTTAGACTGTATTGTGACAGCTGTCACGTCAGCCTGCACTTAAAGAAAAACTTATCAGAATTGATGAATTTTCGTGCAAACATTTTAATGTTGAAGATGAAAGAAGATACACATTTTTGGTGTATTATGCTTTATTATGTCAAGAAAGGTAAAAATGCAACAGATACACAAAAGAAAAAGATTTTCGCAGTGTATGGAGAAGGTGCTGTGACTGAACATGTCAAAAATGGTTTGCAAAGTTTCTTGGTACTATTGACATTTTGGCCAAATAATTCTTTGCTGTGGACTGTTTCGTGCATTGGAAGATGTTTAGCAGCACCTCTGGCCTCTCTCCACTAGAAGCCAATAGCGGGAGACAGCCAACATATTCAAAATACCCAAATCAATAAAGTTATTGGTGAAAATGAAAAACTTGTCTTTTATTTTACAGGAAAAACTAAACCGACTTTTTGGCCAACCCAATATATGGATCAGAGTTGTCTATAAACACACAATAAAACTTTATACTTAAAAAGCATTTTTAAGTCTACAAGACACCTTTACATAAATTGTCTCTGTGGGTTAAATTTCTCTCCCTTGACTCTGTCTCTCTTACACACACGCACGCGCACACACACATGCATCATTGAGTAAACACCCCAGAAAGCCAGCCACACTTAACAATTATACTTCAACCCACATGAAACTGAAAGCTTTCTTTGTGATCGGAAGCACCTGCCAGCACTTGTAAATTAAACGCCCCCAAGGCTGCTTAAAACTAGTAATTTGCCAGCACAAGGAGTTCGGGAGGGTTGATTTAGCCTCCCAGGGCTGAGCACCGGCAGGAACCTCAGCCCACGGCCCAAGAGGCAGCCCCAGGAAAGGACCCTCTGCGGACAGCGGGGGTCACACCTGCAGCGCTGAGGGCCGGGCCGCCGGGGCCTGGGCGCAGGTGCCTGGGGAACGGCTCTCCAGTCGCCTTTGTTGATTTTTCTCTCTAAATGGAGTTAGATGATTCTGACAAAGCAGTACAGTTTTTCTACTTACTTTTATTAATAGAATGGCATCTCCATACATACTAAGTTTCATGTATAAATTTTTGTACATTTTTATTGAAATATTCAATGATCTCTCAGCAGTTTCAAATTCCTTTAAACTAGCATTAATGTAGAAATCAGAAATGCTTTTAAGTTTATACATAACACCAGCCCAAATTTATATCAGCCTAAGACGAACAGGCACAATTTGCAATGGCCGTGGAAGATGATGCCCCCAACCCTCCGGGAAGGGGATTTGACCGATTTGTAGCAAGGAACTTAAAAATATCGACACCCTTTCACCTCAGTCAGTTGCCTCCTCTAAGGAAGCACGTAAGACGGAGAGGGAACACAAGAACCGAGAGAGCGGCTCTAAAGCCACTCGCAGCAGCCAGCGCAACAGCAGCAGGCTCTTCCGAGGCAGCAGTGAGGCAGGAGCTGGTTGCCCGCGTGGGCTGCCCTCCAGGTGCTAACGGAGACCGTTGAAGGATTCGCAGTGACTAGGGACAGGCCTCGTGTTCAAGTCAGTGTTAAATACGGAGGCGGCGCGGGGACTCTGTCTATGCAATGATTGTTTGTTCTTATAAACCAGAACGCCAAAAAAATTTACCCCCAAGACGATGGAATTACACGGCCTGCCTTTTCTTCCTCACTCTTCTAAAGAGCCTACACCTTCTCAGTGTGCGTGATCCTACGCTGAGAAAAGCGGTGTTGAGCTAACTCTTACCCACACGTTGACGGGGGTCGGCCAGGCTGCACAGCGGCTGGGACCTGCGGTGGGACCGGGCCTCCCGACGCCCCATCTGCCGCGCTGTTCCCTTATTCGGTCACGGGCCAGCATCAGGGCCACCCTGGGGTTGACGGCGGTTCCAGCAGCCGCCGCCGCCCACAGTGGCCCCGTGCCTCCAGCTCCCAGGGCGCCCTGCCTCGGCCCGGCCCCTTCCCATGGCGCGCTGGCCACCGCGGGGTCCCCTGCCGGGCTCCGCACTCTGTCTCCTGTGACCCAGGGACGCCCGTGGCCAGCGTCCCCGCGATCGGTGGGCCTGGCCTGGAGGTGCCTCTGACAAGCCCCTCCTTCCACCGTCAGCACCTAGCACCTCGGGGGGCTGGACGCTGGGCTGAGCGCGCGGGTGCGAGGGAGGAAAAGGAAGGAGACTCACAGCTCTCTCTCTCTCGCGCTCTCTCTCCCCCCCTTGTCCCGCCCGCGCCCCCCCAACCCGGTCGGGGTGCAGCCTGCGACCAGCTGGCCCTGGGCGTTGCCGCACTGCTGGGTCCGGCGCACAGCTCCTCGGCCAGCGCCGTGCAGTCGGTGTGCAACGCGCTGCAGGTGCCCCACGTGCACACGCGCTGGCGGCCCCCCGCGGCGGACAGCCGCGGCCCCTTCCACGTCAACCTGCACCCGGACGCCGCAGCCATCAGCCGCGCGGTGCTGGACCTGGTGCTCTACTTCGGCTGGAGGGCCGTGACTGTGGTCTACGAGGACAGCACAGGTACGCTTGCCTGGCACGCGGGGCGAGGGCGGGGGACGGGGGCCGATGGGGTGCCCTAGTACAGCAGCGCCCTGGCCAGCCCACACCAGGCCCTTGTGGGGGTTCATTTCTCATCGCCCATCTGAGGAGGATGTTTTGAGAAATGCCACCTTTTCGATGTATATTGTTGCCCAGTCAGAATGTTGAAGGTGGCATTGCATGGATCCACCTCTGTCAGGACAGGGCCTGGACGCTGTTCCTTAACTAACGCAGAGAAAGTTTGAAAACGACCGCGGAGTGTGATTCCGACTTGATAGCTGGCTGCCTATGTGTCTAAAGTTTCTCAAGTAGGTTAACAAAGAGGGTTCCAGTTACCGCCGGGGGGGCCAGCCTCATGGCATCTCTGGGCTGCCCTGGAACAAGAGGTGTCTTGGGCCACACATTAAATGCATCGCAACACGTAATCACAAAAAATCTCATCATGTTTTAAGTAAACTTACAATTTTGCATTGGGCCACGTTCACCGCCGTCCTGGGCCACGTGCAGCCCCCGGGCAGGGGACGGGCGCCGCCGTTGGAGGCTGTGTCGGTAAAGCTGCCCGTCTGGCGGGAAGGAGCGTGGCCGCAGGTGACGAGCCCTGGATGAAGCTTTCGTTGCTCCCCCTGCTTATTTTAGGGTGAAGGACAGAGTGTGGTCTGGCCCCTGCTCCGGCCAGACGTTTTTCCGACCCTCCCCGACTTGAAGTTCCCTTTCATGGCACCTTCCCGGGGGCCTCTGGTCACAGGCTGAGGTTTGTGGGGCCGAGTCCCCCCGGTACTGGGGGGGGGGGGGCGCGTGCTGGCGAATCTCCTACGTCCACACAGCCCAGTCGGGCCCCTTGGCCTCCAAGGCCTGTGGCAGCTCCCTCGCCCCAACCCGCCCCGCCCCCCAGTTGTCTCGGGCTGGCCCCGGCTCTGGATGCTTCTCCCGCTTCCCCGGGCACCTGCCACGCCCTGCGGGGCTCCCCGCCACTTTCCCAGCACAGCCGCACACAGGCAGGGGTTGCTAAAGCAGAGCACTCCTGGCCATCGCGTCTGTAACCGGCTGCCGGCACGGCCCTGGCGCGCAGGCAAGTGCTCCGTGAGGCCTGGGAGGGCCGGTGTCACTCTTGACCCTTAAACGCCAGAGAGTCTGAAACATCCGGTCTCGTACAGGCAGATTTTTTTAAATAAATATGCGGTCGGCCCCCGCATCTTGGGCTTTGCTGCAGGATCCAGCAGGCGCGGGTGGAGAGCCGCCCCGGGAGCCGCGGAGGCACAGGGCCGGGGGCGCGGCGCCCACGCCCCTTCGCAGCAGGGGCTGCGGCGGCCGCAGGGCGGGGTGTTCCGGGCCCTGAGCCACCCCCTCGGACACCAAGGGGCGGCTGCATTTACTTTCTGGGTATGTTTCTCCAGCACTGAGACTAGCTCCATTCTTTAACATACACATTTGGTAGTAAGATTAATAGAATTACCAGTGAAAATGAATCAAGCAAAGCACACTAAACTGTGTAACAGCCCATTTCTCCACCCCCGCCACCGAGCGCCCGCGCCGCCGCCTCCCTGGCGGACGAGCTGGGCCTCCCTCCCTCGGGCACCAGCTCCGGCTCTGTTTCCAACGGTCAGGAAAAGAGCCTGTTCTGGCCAGAAATACGCATGCACGTGTTTCTTCTCCCGTCGTCTCCTTTCAGGGAAGAGGGAAGGTAGCCGGTACGTTATTTGTAGTCACATTAAAAGCAGCCCCCCTGGGAAAGGGGGCCCCGGGGGTGTCACATCCGGGGAGCGTCCCCTGCCCACGGGGAGGGAAGGACGCGGCCTAACGGCCGCCCAGCACAGGCGAGGCCCTGAGAACTGCCGCTGCCAGCGAGTGTGGCCGGGCCCGGGCGCCACCCAAACCGTGCGTTCCCCGCCACCAGGGGGCGCTGCAGGGCCCCCTCGCTCACCGCCTCCGCTTCTCCAGCAAAGCGGGGCCATCGGAGAGGAACGCAAACCAACAAACAACATTGGGACTCCTGGGTTTTACTCAGCAAGCGGCGCAACCGGAAGTGGGAGCACAGCTGCCTTAGATTCCAAATTTTACGAGGGAGGACCCCTTGTAGTCCAGCCTCCTCCACATGGTGAGTGTCCTGGGACCCCATCTGCATCAGCGCACCAGCTGGTGTTGTGGTGAGAGGCTGCGTTTGGCCTCAGTGAGTATGGTTTTTTTTTTTTTTTTTTTTTGAAGACTCAACGCATTTGCCATTTCATGACGGGGGACTGACGCGCGCACCTGCCCACAGCGGCTGAGTGCTCAGCAGGTTTTGACCAAAAACAGCATGGCCCCCCAGCCCCACCCTCCCTAATCACCCCATCTCGCTCCAAGTGACTTATTTTTTTTGTTTCCCCGGATGAAAGAAGTCCTCAAAGGGAAATGTTTTGCTGATGTGGAAGAGGTGAAACCAGAAATGGCAGAAGCACTAAAAGGCCTCAAAATCGACAAGTTCACAAACTGTTCTGAGCCGTGGAGAAAACATCTCAATAGGTGTATTGCATCAGATGGAGAGGACTTGGAAGGTGACTGAAGTTTAAACATATAAGTACAGTTTTTATAAGTATATCCTATTTTTTAGGTCTCCCCCTTATTTTTAGGCAAAACATAACTTGTGCAGACACGACACAGAAGCGGGTGTCCCTCGTCACAGCTCCGGCGGCCGGGGGGCCCCGTAAGCGATGGCCGTTGGGCCCAGGAGAGCGAGCGAGCTGTCATCTCAATCGCCCGGTACAGGAACCTGAGATCCCCTTCTGTTAAGTTCGCCTGCTGCTCAGAAATACCTGCTGAAATTGAAAACCCAACATGAGCTTGTAGGTTGCCCATTAAGTTTGAGATGATTCATGTTAAAATGACTTTGCCCACAAAGACCTTAAAAATGTAAGTGAGTAATCAATTGAGCAGTTAAATTGCAGCCCAGAGAGTAAACAGGTCGCCCAGGATCAATAAAAGCAGACACCTTTGGCTTTGAGTGGTTTCAGCTGCTCGGCTCAGGGCTTCGGCTGCAGCGATTACTGAGCCGTGAGAAGGAGACAGGGACCCGAAGGAGAGCGGGGACTCAGGCGTGCTCCACTGTGCCGCCCACCGGGCGCCGCTCCCACCGGGCACACAGCGCCGGCGGCCCGGGACTCCCCGTGAAGTCCGTGGGGGCTCGTGCGCATCTCCAAGGACGGGCGTCAGTCCGCTGGTCACTGGCAGGCAGGACCCGGCCCCCAGAAGGCGAGCGTCAGAGGACCCTCGGGAGCTCCGACGGGGAACGGTTTTGTCTCCCTTCGTCTCTGTCTCTGGCCTGGATGTTCTCCTTCAGTTGCCTACGTCCCTCAGGTTCCTCCGTCCTGCGGGGGCCCGGACACCGAGCAAGCGCTGCCCGCTGGCCACCCCGGAGCCCCACGGGAGCCCCACGGGAGCCCGGCCTGGCTTCCCACACGCTCCTCAGGGGCCAGGACGCGGGGCGCTGGCTGGTGGCGGCGTGGGGGTGTCAGCGGCTGCCGCTCCTCAAGGCCGAGGCCAGTGACGACGTGCAGCCACAGCCCTGTCCCTAGAACAAGGCTCAGCGAATACCCTTCTCTCAAGGCTGGGTGGTGGGTGACTTCAGCTCCGGGGCCACGGGGCTGAGTCACTCGGCTGCGGTGGCACAAAGCAGCTCCAGGTGATGTGAAAAGCATGACGTCTCCATGGACCTCATTTACCAAAGCGGAAGCCTGCGAGGCCAGATCAGACGCAGAGGAGGAGGGCAGGGGGCAGCCCGGGAGCAGAGCCTGGCCGAGCCTGGGGGCTCCGCAGGAAATGGGGGGCCCCGGGCAGCCTTCAGCACAGGGGCCCCACGGTCAGGCTGGCGCACTGATCACACAGGGAGATGGGTAAATGCAGGTCCCAGAGAAATCAAAGCAAGAGAGGGAGGTGAAAGCAACCAAGGATGAGAAAGGGTCGATTCTGGGAACGTTTGAATGTGGAGCTGGGTGGGGGGCGGGGGAGGCGGGGCGGGGGCCGGGAGTCAAGGGCTTGGAGCCTCTTGGCCAGGCCCCGGGGACGGCGTGGCGGCCCCCGACGGGCGAAGAGACAGCTGGGAGAACTAAGAGTGCATGAGGGCTCGGTCGCGACCGTGGGAAGGCTGAGTTGGCCGCGTCGGCTGGAGTTCAGAGACGTGGTGTGGGCTGGAGGCGGAAAGCCGAGGGTCCTCGGCCAGTGGGTGGGACGAGATGGGGCCCAGAGGACACGCGTCCCCGCCCAGGCCTCAGGACTGGACCTCCTGGCGCGGAACCCTTGGTCGCCTGACGTCGTTTTCTCAGTGCGTCGAGATTTCTCATGGGCTCCTGGCTCCCACCTGAGATGGAGCCTCCCAGCTCCACGGCAAGGGGAGGTTCACATCACACATAGAAATGTCAGCGACTGAAAGACACACACCCAGCGGGAGGACACAGGGAAGCAGCCACCACGAACAGTGTGATGAGTGGGTCCCCGCGGAAGGCCAGGTCCCTGCCAGCCACCCCCCCCCCGCGTCCCCTCCCCCGCTTTGTGCAGGTAGCAGCCTCCCGGCTCCGCCTCCCTGTGATTAAGGGAAACGCAGCTCAGGTTCCTTACTTCACTGTATTCCCTCCGTTTCCCCCCAAAAAGCAGGTAGAACATGTCCAGAACCAAGAATCTTGACAGGGTCCTAAAATGTGGACTTGGAGGAGACATTTCGGCATTGATGGCCAGGGCAGAACGAAAGATACTGCGCGTACAGCCAGTGTCGAAGGAGAACATGAGTTCTCACCTTCGGCTCTCGGGACTCACCACGCTGTGCGGTTATAAAGCAAAACTCTTCTGCCCGATGTGCCTTCTCCCCCTCTGCCGCCTCCTCCCCCGCCCCTGCCCCCGCAAAAGTCGCTGCTCAGAGAGACGCCCTGGCTCTCAGCACCAACGTGGCGATAAATCCTAACTCTAACTCGTTTCTTCCTCTGCTCTATCCCCTTCCCTGCCCGCTTACACGCCCT